GGTTAACTCCTTCGCTCCATCCTCCTCCTCCCTCCCGCCTCGTGTTTAACCGTGAACACCGCGGGGCTAATAGAAAGTATACACCATCGTACGCTCCCTGCGTCCCCCTTTATTAATATCGATGTTTCGTGCGATGCCGACATTAATCGCGTAATCGGGCCTCCGCTTCTGTTCGAGTATACGCGGTACGTACAGTATCACGCGAATTCGATCACGTGCGCAGCTTTTAAGGACTTCCTCGACGGAGGACAGAGGGGTGGAATCGTGTCTTACTCGAGATTGCAATTTCGCGAAATCACGATGGGTCGTAAATGGGACACCGCCGCGCGATTGCCGTGACTCGTTCGACTCTCGTACTCCTAAGCCCTAGCGAAGAGTTAATTAGAAATTTACAGATGAATTTCTTGTGTAACGCAAAGGGCAAAAATAGCCGGCGCGTAGCAAACACGGCAAATTTGTATTTCATCACGATTCGCATTTTCTTTTAAAGCTCCGCTAATAGTATTTCAACTGTTGCACAACGTGGGAGCGGCTGCAGCGTGGCGTACTGGGAAACGTATTAAGGATACGGCAGCAAGGAGACGTCGCATAACTTCGAATTATCACTGTACATAATTGCTCGAGCGAGCAAGCAACTTAGCGGTACACCAGTCCCGGAGATGTGACGGGGCTGCACCATCGCGGCATACCATCTTAAATAGCCTGGCACTTTATAGATGTCCGTTAATAAACTTCATTATACCGGCTGCGCTTAATTGATTAACGAGAAATTACGAGACGGTCCTGCGTATACAAGCAAAACGAGGGTACGGCGGGCGTTCCCTACGGGGGTATATACCTCGGTCTAGTGGGACTTGAAAAACGAATGAAACCGCGTTAATTAAATCCACAATGTAATCCCGCTTCCACCGGCACCGCCTTTTATTTATTTATTTTTTCTCCGCTTACGTTTTTTCCCCGCGCCGTGGTAAACGCACTGTTTTGAACGTGAAATCGCGCGTTCGCGAAAAGGCGCGAAACCACGCGAGGGTTCGAATCGCGTTCGCAATTTCTACCTGATTGTTATGCAGAGTGAATTACAGAGGGGAGTAATTAGACTTTTAATATCGCTTCGCGATTTTTAACTCGTCGAATGCATGAGCTAGCTAGCGCGAGCCGGCCGTATTAATCTTCTTTCGAGTTATTTTCCAATGGGGGGAGGGTCGTATCCCTCGCAATGAGTCTTCGCATTCCCCGGAGATTAACGGCAACGTTTGCGAGATCGAATCCCGACGGTATCGGCAAACAGTTTCCCGCTATTAAGCGCGAGCTCTTTCTCTCTCTCTCTCTCTCTCTCTCTCTCTCTCCCGCTATGACTTTACCTATGATCTAACTGATGCTCGGGACTGGGAGTAGCTTCCGGTATTTTTGCGCGAGTGCACGCGCACCCGCCTGTATAGGTTCCACGCCCTTTAATTATCCGCAGCTTGACGCCGAGTAGTTACGGCGGATAGTAACGTTGTCATTATGACTGCGAAGAGCGAACGAGGCTACCGTGCCTCCTCTCTCCTCTTTTCTCCTTACCGTCGTCTTCTCCTCCTATCCTTCTCTTCTTTTTTTCTTCCTCTTCCTCTTCTTATTGTGACCCTCGCGGCATCTTCACCTCTCACGACGATATAGAGGTCGTGGCGTTTTAAACGCGAGAGTCATTGTCCAGCGCCCGGTTCAAGATCCGTTCTGCGAAACGCACGATACCGAGTCATCGCTCCTTGGCGGTTATATTCCCGCGATTGCCAACGCTGCCAAAGTCTTTCGGGCATACGCGTATATGTATTTTGCTGTGATGCGAATGTCCGACGTCGCGAACTCTTTGTGCAAAGTTTCCTCCGATGAGATTCGAATAGCAGATAATTCTATCGCACAACCTCACCTAGACCCATTACTTTATCAGCGGCAATAAAACCGTCGCCTCGCTCAGATCCCTAGCTGTAAAGTGGTATTAAGTACCAGCTTTAAGTAATCTCGGGTGAGACCCAACAAGAAGCCTGTTCGTACGACGCGTTCTCGGGGGTCCTTTGTTCGCGAGTGGATGCTGCGGGATCGCCGCGATTTTACGAGCCGGTCGACCGATAACCGGTCAGTCGACCGTTTCTCGCAGTATCTATCGTAACTAAGTACACTATAATATGTCAGCCGTCGCATAGGAGCCAATGGCGGGGCGTAAAGTAGTACTGCCGTTGAAACAATGACGACAGGTAGGCGCGTCGCGATCCAGGACGCTGATCTTTCTCTCATCGAAGGACCGGGCAAGTTCGTGGGCGTCGTGGCGTCCTAATAGCTTTTAATGCCCCGCCAACGTGATTTAGGTGTGCACCGCTATAGGCTCCTCCCTCCCCTCCTTCTGATTTTGCACAAAGGATCTCGACAGTGCACTGACCGTCCTTTCGAGTGGCGAGACTCAGACTGGCTCGGCGGCAGCGCCCTTGAAATTCCTCCCGCGAATACCTGCGGTTGCAACTTTCGGCCGCGCGCACGGGCATAAAGTAAGATAAAGCTCTGTAAAACGGGCGTAACTTTTTTTTTCCCCTCCGCGGCTGGAGCGACAATCGCCGCGTTGCTGCCGATTTCACGCGGCGCGCATCCGTAATTCTCTCCGCGGCTTAGATTTGCGTGAATTTTTTAAGAGTTTTACGAAATGCTTTAATGCACGAATGCGACCAAGCGGATTTTTTTTCTCTCTCTCTTTCTCTCTTTAGGTTTTTTTTAACCGGCCGAATCGTCATCCCTCTCTGTCTCCGCTCGGAACCAGCTCTACTGCGAAACTGTCACGTCGAATCGCGTTTGAAAAGGGATTTCATTTTTCTACGAATCTCCCTTGCATTTTTTATGATCAACTTCACAGTCTATAAAAGTCCAACGTCAAATTGAGAAAAAAATCAAACAACTTTTCAACTCAAACGACAGAAACTCAAATAGAAGACGAAATAGAAGATTGTAAAAATACGCGTTTTTTAAAGCAATGTATATTTTCTGAAACAATATGACACTTTGTCGTTCAAATTTCTGACAGTCTGGAAAGGGCACTTTGACCTTTTCCACTACGGATTTTGAGACGCGTAAGCCCAGCTACGCAATTGCCGCATCTCTCGTTGTGTCTTTGATACCGTGTACCTCGTGTGGTCCTCTTTCGTACGACGTATAGATCGTCCGCGTCCACCCACTGATACGCGCGAATCTCTCTCTCTCTCGGAGTCTCAGGTTACAGACGACTCTTTCCCAAAAAGAGCAACGGTACACGGATACACGGACATCCACCTCTTAGACGCTATATGCAAATTTCCTTGCCTCCTAGCCGGAGCACCGCCAGACGTCGGGAATATGAATCACGCTGCGATGAGAGGCCGCTGCCTCGTAACAGGAAATCCGTCGCCATACGCGATCCTGCGAATTCAAACAAAGCCCGATGCATTCCCCTTTATCCTGCCCTTCAGCTTTTTCATCGATCGGCCGCAGCCCACGCGCGCAAAGAAAGCGCCTTCAGGCTTTTCGAAACGTGGGAATTAATATCGACTATATAAAAGGATTTTAATTAATAATTTCAATAATGTAAAAGAGCGTTTCTTTCTCTTACTCTTGTCCCCTTTCCCTCTTCTCCTTTCCGATCTGTGCACGTCATTAATAATTTTTATAACTGAAACTTAATCTCAAGATGTAATCTCAAACTTTGATCCCAAGAAGCAATCTCAAGTTTGGTATCTTAATATATAAAGAAATATGTCTATATTCAAACGGGCTTATAAAACGAAAATAATACCGAGATAACAATAAACGATATGGACAAGTTCATATTTTCCTCGACATCTCGACAGTGACACTTTGCACGGCACTGACGTCACTATTCGGAGATGACCAAATCGACTGCCGGGGAGCCTTAAACTCGCATTTTACTTTCATATACCAATCCAGGAAGTCGTCCGCGAAACATTTCCATTGGAAAGGTTATAGCGCGCGCGGGTGGATCATATGATATCAACGAATCGATATATTTATTTCTCTTGCAAAGATATAGAATTACACATGTAGTCGTAATCTAGTTTCTAAATTTCTTTGGAGTTTTATATATTATATACATTCTTTATGTACTTTTCATAATTGCATTACGAGGAAAATCTCTGAACTCGTAAGAGATGCAATTATGGATCAATTTTTTTGCAGTTTATTTTTTTATACCAGTGAACTCAGCCACCAAATTGTCTTCTAATTTGCCTGTGAATAACAGTATTTAAAGTTACGCCTAATGGCGTATTAGCTGCGAATTTGCATTTGTGGTATCTTTTGTGACGATCGACGACGGATGGCACAATAAAACAAACTGTAGCTTGCAAGTAGACGCGACGGAATAAACCGCCGTTTATCAGCACGTAACGAAGACGGTCACGCGACCTCGTGATTCGCGGATAATGACCGTGACGGAGGCCGCATATAGCTGCCCCCGTCAATGTACGACGTCTCCACTTCCGATGCAGAAAGCTGCCGTTTCCTCTGCAGCGCTCCCGTCGCAAGAAAAAAAAATCGCAGGTGCAATCAGGTCGATATTACGCGAAAATTAGTAGCACATAAGGACGGACGTGCGTGCGTGATCGATATGCGATCGAGTCAATCGCGAAAACTTCACATTGTTTTTCTTGCAAGACGTTCTCGAAATCGATTAACATTATCTCTCTGCATGTTTTTCATAAGATTTTTTTTTTACGTGATTTGATGTTTTTTGTTTATAAATCTTGACAACGTGCTTCAGAATATTTTGTGATTCCGAAACACTTATAATAATTCTTTGAATAATCTTCTTCCGCTAAATTAGGTTGAGACGAAACTTTATACTATAATACTTTGATTCTATAATCCTCTTTTCACTAAGTTTCACTGAGGAAAAATTTTAAGATAATTTTAAGATAAATTCCAAAATGTGCAGATATAATTTATGAGAACTGCTGAAGTTTTAATAAATTATTATTACATAGTTCAAAATCAATCGAGTGTACATCGAGACCCGACCAGCGGCCTTCTTCGTCGCGCAAAGGCGACGAACATTTGTGTGTGATGATTCGACGTGATACGACACTGAAGAATCTTGACGGATCAAAATTATTCGCGACGTCCTCGAGTGAAACTTCGAGGAGGGAGCTCTGACTCGTCCAAGAAGAGACGCGAGATTTCGATGGCGAGATAAAAATATCTCCAGTCAATTCGAGTCATTGGACCAATTACTCCAGATGTAGTTTTCGATTTGTCCTACGAAACCCGGAGAAACCGTGGAAATGTCACCTTAGTGAACTTGTTACCAAGACTGGTTACTCTAGGGACGATCGATAAGAACGAGCGGTAACATTTAGTGCAGATTGGTAGAGAGGAGATCTTCGTGCGTTCTCTTGCTGAAGATGGACGCTCTGGAGCTGCAGGCCGCCTTGGTGAAGCTCGATCCGGCCACCACGGTGACGCCGATCGGTACCACCGTGAAGCTGATGCCCCATCATCGCGTCGCATTCACCGTGAACATCGACGACGAGAGTGATGACATGACTTTGGAGGATTCGACGCGGAACGACGACGAGAAGTCGCCGGCCGAGACGGCGACGTCGGTGTCGAGGAAGACGCCGGGTAACTGCGCGGCCGGCCTGACGACGGGTCACCATCAGGGCGGCGGCCAGCAGATGGGTGTCTCCAAGTGCGGCATCGCCGAGGTCAGGTGACGCCAGCCACCTTGCTACGGCGTCAACATGATTTACCACACTTATCCGCCGCACCGAGGCAGCAAGCACCACGCCAAGCATCACGCCAAGGAAAAGAGATACCATCATCATCACACTATGCACCATCAGCATCACAGAGCTCACGTGGTAAGTCATCGCGTTATAGGCGCGCGTTGCCGCGGACAAAGAGGCGACGACGACGATGACGTTGTCGTCGCGCCGTGAGCGTGCGAAGAGATTCCCTATTGTCTGTACTCGCAAGGTCGTTTGATTGTTTCACGACGCGTTGAATTCGAAATTAACCTTATTAATTGCGATGCGGAAACGGTGAGTGAGAAAAATTGATTATCTTTTATGTTTTTTTACCGGAGAGATTTTCGCATCGATATAGAACGAAAAATAATTAATTAAGCGATACGCCGCGAGAGAAAAGGAGTTTCTTCTACGTCGCACTGCAGCCGTTTAACAATTTCTATTCTTCCTGCAACAATTTCGCGCTAGTGACCAACCGCTACGAAAGCACTTCGTGCTTTCCACGAGACTCATCCGGGGGCTTTTATAGAATTCAATAAGAGATGGAGGCGTGTCGTAGTAAACTCGTATTTCCGTGAGCCCCTCGAGAAGCTTAACTCGCCGCGGGCACTTGTATTATGTATTTCGTTCAACCACATTCCCCCTACAAAACACGAACGTATCTGAAAAGATATTACACTTCGTATTCCCGTGATACAAAGAATAAATAATATCTCGCAACGCGAATGACGGCGAGATGAACGACGGACGAGCCATGTGTCCAATAAAGAGATTAAATTTACCTACCGTTCCGGAAATAATTTCCGAAACGCAGTTTTTCTTCGATTTTATTTTACTTATCCACCCCGAAATTCGCGCAATACGATATTTATTATCGAAAGTTTTATTGACTACAATTCACCTGCTTTGCGGCCGCTTGAAAATGCTGAAGTCTACAGTTTAATTAAAATTGATGCTCCACGCATGTCGAGAGATTGCAAATTAAATTTGTATACTCGTATTTCGAGGGAAATTAAAATCGAGATTAAAACCGACTAAATTGCGCATCAAAGTTAATGTTTAAGTAGACGTTTGCGTGGTTATATTAATATACTTCGTTATATCGCTGCCGCTGCTCATTTTGCAGTAGCATTTTGCGAATCGACCGTTCCCGCATCGTCCTGGCCATCGCCCGTTCGTGTGCCGTATCGGACGCCACTTTATTCATTGAACATACTCATTGTGTGTTCCGTGCTCATGCAGCGAGCCGTGCGCGTTTCCTTTATGAATTTTTTCTCGCGCAACGGTTCCTCACAGTGACGAATGTGTATCACCGAGTCAGCGGACAATGCGACACGCTCCGGCTGGCGTTCTGTTCTCTGGCTTCGCGTTTGCACAGCTCCGCGTATCCGCGATACGCGAGGACGGGCGCGTGTTCCGTGACGGAACACATACGGTATAATACCCGGGCGTCTCTCGTGTCTGGCCGACGTAAGGAGCAAGCCGCGTTCGCGCCAGCCACTTTATTTTCCTAGCGGTAGTTTCGCGCTGGGAGATAATTAACGAGCTCGCAAGAGCAATCGACCGCGCGGCGCGTTAACGCGGTCCCTCGTACCTACGCCTACGAGCGTACTAGATTAGCATGTTAATTTTTTAACGGGGCTTTTCGATCTGCGCTTACGTGCGCCGGAGCAACGCATTTTCTGAGGACGTGTTTCCAAGCAGAAGACGGCATACGAAATGAGAGAATTGCATTCGTAATAGAGAGACAGAGAGAAAGAAAGAGAAGGGAAACGTTAAAATTTTCTATTTGTATTAAAGCATTGCATGAATTGCGCGTAAATTTCTACACAATTTTTTTTTGTTTTTTTACTAAAACATCTATTTATTTGCGCTGCAAATTTAGAAAAACTGTTTTAATTATGTTAGTTTGTTTATTCCGGAGAATAACTGCTTCGTGCTGCTGGATGACACTCGCATTCGTGACGAAGGGATTCACCGTAATTGTACCTTCGTGAAGGGAGTCGATCAGACGGGTTCATTCGAGGGTGAATTGACGTCTCGCGCGAAGACGCGCGTCCGCGCGTGGATGTGCACGTGTACATCGCGATCTCGAGTGCGCGTACGTACGTGTGCGTACGCACCTTGGCAAGCGTGTACTCGCAGCTGCACTTAAGCGGGACATAATAGGCCTATCGCGAACCACTTGTCTACTTCAGACCCATCGCCCGCGGCCGCGACGACCGACGTTAATAGGCGCGTTTGCGGGAGCCACGAGGGGGAGACCGACGAGGACTGTGCGACACCACGCAGATTACGAAGTGCGTGAATGGCGCATCTCTCGCGCCGCAATTCGCCAAGTGCGTCTCATTTTAGATAATTGCCGTGCCCCGAGTTTGGATCACGACGTCAACCTCGTTTGAGATGCATTCGCTGTTCCGCAATCTGGCAGGCAGAGCGCAGCTTTGTACGCTCGATATTTGATCTTGCCGTGAGATTTTCACCAAAAACAACCCAACCGACAGGACCTCCAAATATACCGAATCGGAGAAAATAAACTCGTGCATCCGCGCGCGTCCGACATCCGTGCATCGCGCCGCGCCGCTGATTCTCCCAATTCGCATATAATTACGCGGCGCGCTTTAGATATTCGTACACTCGTGCGTATATTCGTTTTTATTGCACATTACGTTCCGACTCCACGCAGCGGAGTAAATCGTGCACGCCGCGAGCTACCCTTCGTTAGGTCCGTTATAGGAGAGAGAAAGAGCCGCCGAGACTCTTTCCCTCTCGAAGTACATACAATCGTCCAGTATCCGGCTATCGAGCGGCTCGCCGGCGCGGTATTGAATTCTCGAGTGGGAGGAAATGCCGCGAGCGCATCACGCGTGTGTACATATGCACATATGGGAGGCATACGTTTCTGCGTATACATATATATATACACGTATAGCGTATCCTCCCCTGAGTCACACGCCGGGGGCTCCGTCAACTCCGGCGGAGGTTCGGCTCGGCATGTGTATCGGATGGATAAGATCGATAATGTTGGGCCACGTAACTAGGACGGCGGTCTCCGTCGCGCCCCGAATATCTCTCGCGCGCGGCGATATATAATATACATTTTATACATACATATATATATATATATATATATATATATGAATGTAGGTACTCGCGATCTTTTATTTCACCTTGCTCGTAGCACACAATATGTCAGGGAGAGATGGCTATAAATCCTGCCGCGGATAACTTTATATAGTCGAATTTATGGTTATCTTGCGCAACACGCTTGGAATTGTAATTGTTCGCTGTTTTACACAACGGCGAGCTAAATCGCGCCGCACTATTGCTTCGCGGTAACGAGCATTGAAAATTGTATTCGTAAATTCCGTTGCGTATCGTTTATTTCTGTATAGTTCAAGCTTAAGCATCTTTATTTTATCTGCATACATTTTGATCCTATCTGATCACACAGACTCTCTCTCTCTCTCTCTCTCTCTTTCTGTTTGCGCAGCGGAAAAAAGGCCCGCCGACCGTCGTGCGTCGCCCAGGGTCAGACTTTCAATTAAAGTTTAAGTCGGGGTCTTAACGAGGCTTAAAAGAATCGGCGCGTACACGTGCTTATACACTCATGCCGAAGACTTAAGCCGGCTCGTCCCGTTCGCGTCGTTTGTCCGTCGAAGGGATGAACTTGCCCGCTTCGGGCTTCTGTTGCGACCACGAGGTGATACTCGAACGACGTGTAACCGGTATAATCGGGGATCAGTCGATGTACACATTTCGTGTTCGCGCGAGAGCGCGAAAACGGGCTAAGGGATTTCGCCAAGCGGCGAGCGTAGCGGGCGGATGAGCTTATCGACGAGCCGCGATTCGATACATTAAGCCGGCAATGAGATTCGTCTCCGCGCAATAAAATATTTAATTTGTTTCACCGCAATTGACGCCGAATCACGTAATTGCGTGCCGTAATCGAAAATAGCGGTTTTTCACATGTAGAGAAACTAATCGACGGCCAACAAAAAGGATACGAATTTATTTGTATTGTATCACTACAATATATCGTTGTAATGGCTTATCGATTTTAATGTTTTACAGTTGTGTGGAGTTAGATATATAGACCATTTATTCATATTTCATTTAGAGTCGATCACGTTAAATCTCGTTTGCGCTAGAAAAATAATATACAGTAACAGGTGACAATGAGAAGTTCACTTTTCTAAAGAAGCCTGTTTTTACCTCCTTTTATATAATCAAATTTCCAACTTCTCCCTTATTTTATTCCGCTTTTTCTTTGTCGTTCCGTGGGCGTGGGATATATTTATAGTAAATATTCTTTTGTTGCGAGTCTGACAGGGGCCAGTTTTCCAGCTTCCAATAAATTAGTCGGCCGGCCGACCGGCTTCCCGTAGCTTATATACCTCCGCGTCTCGGAGAACGTCTAATTAGGGTCCGTCGGAGTCGCGCGGAGTCAGCGGTAAAAATATTTGCATCCGCCGTTTTGCAATTTGTGCAAAATGTGCGTGACGGACGCACGCGTGGACGCGCGCGTCGGCTGTGCGTGATCCAGCTATGAAACCGTCAAGACAAAGACGCACAATACGCAATTTCGCGCCGCAATTTCGATGAGTGCCACGAGAGAAGGGCGACAATCGCGACCGATCGCGCGAATCGATTGACAGGACGACGTCGAAATTACACGTGGCCGTTAAATGTCTATAGAAAGTGTCACTCGTGATCGGCTGATTATTACAATTAGCGCGCGTATTCCCGTTGGGCAGTACCAATTTTTCACGATGTGATTACCTCTGGTACAACACCGGACAGTTTCGAAAATCACCGTGACCTTGGCCCGAAAGTCCGTCTCACTCGGTTATATTTATCCGGCGGTGGTGTGCGCGCGTTCGTGTACGATGGGTTCGGTGTTGCGAGAGGAAACACGCGGCGATACAACGCGCGATGGCGCCTCCGCGCGAGGAACTTCCATTAATTTCAGACGT